GAGCAGACAATTGGGAAAAGATGCAGCAGTATGTGGCTGGAATGAGTCTTGAGAGGTGGCTTCTAGGTATCTTGGCTGCTGCTCTAAGGAAAGGAGACAATTTTTAACAGCATATTGGTAAGAGGCTATAGTTGGCTTAAATGTCCCCTATAGCCATCCAGTCCCCTTGGCAAGTTTTCCTGCTTGCTTGCCCAAAGCCAATAAAGTAGTACCTCTCTCAATATGCCTCTGGTGTGTACTCTGAGCTGTGAGTGAACTGGTCTTCTGGGCAATTGACAGCATAGCTATCATTCCTAGTCTCATACAAACTTAACTCTATAGTCCATGTGTGCAATGGAATCCATTGATGAAAGCTAAGCTTCTGCCTCATGTATAACTGAATTACCACCTTGAGTAACCTTCTACAAGTGGCAAGAGCTGGCCCTTCAGGAGCTTTAAACCAAGCTGCTCTGCAGGTCTCCTATGATTTCTGTTCTCTTCTGCAGTACCCTTGCTTCTGCAATAAAGGATTTAGGTCCAGATCCTCAAACAGAGGTGGCTAGTTTCCACTTATTTCAGTAGAAGTTAAGAGCATAAATACCTTTTAAGGACTTGTGCCTTAGTCCTTAACCATGCTAGGCGAAACCTGTGCACTCTGCCTGCTTGGAAATGCAACCAGGGATGCTGAAACAATAATGATGATGTGAACTAACTGCACAAACTACTGTGTCGTGTTAGCTTTTAAGCCTAATGATGCATCAAACTGTAACCACTACTAATCTTGTTCCAATCACTTTGGCAGAGAAGTTCACTGAGTCTCCTTATCCACCCACCATTGATGTCAAAGCTGAGTCGTTGACCCCTTCCTTGCCATTGCAGGACTGTTCTTGCAGGCAGTTCTCCAGATTAATTTTTTTAAATGACCTCACCAATACAGCTACCACTATCTCAACTGAGTCTCTCTCTCCCTCCCTTCCTCCCCCCCAGCAAATGTTTTCTCATTCCCATCTTCTCCTGTTAGCCAAAACATTCCTTAATTTCCACCCCATTCTACATGTGCTGCTGGGCTGCAAGTGAGTTACCAAGGGAGGGGCCAGAGAACCAGCAATCAGGTTAGGAAGCTGAGTCCAGCTGGGAACTAACAGCATGACTGTGAGGACATAAGATTACTTCCACCTCCCCTTCCACTGAAAGGAATCAGTGCATCACAATAGTAGACAATTCAGGAACATGCTAGTACAGAACAGTTCATGGTCTTCAGTCCCTATGATGCTGTGTTGTCATGTGAGTTGGCCACCAGTTTTTAAAAAATACATCTTTTGCTTTCTTCCTGCCAGAGCTGTTCCAAATACTATAGCTAGGCTGTGACAAGTGACCAACAATAGACAGTTGCCTTGAGGCAGTCAAGGAGCACCATGGAGTTAAATGGCTTTAGTGGTCAAGTGCAGTGAGTGTGTTTGGTGTGATTGGAACAGCATCTCTCAGATATGGACTAGCCCTGCCTGTCACCGGGATACCAAAATGTGCTCTTGGAAAAACCACCTCAGGCAGACTCCTTTTAAAACCTAATATTTTATTCACTGACAGGTTACAAAGATGATAAATTGCTGTCAAAGAAGTTCTGGTCCCAGCTGCTCTCATGATGAGCCTTACTGGAAACCTAGTTTTATGGGGCCATGTCCCATGCTAGGTTTGAATGCTGGCTGGGAGCAGAAGACATAGGACAGCAACAGGAACGGGGAATGAGGGTCGAGAGAACAAAGTGAGGGATTGTGGCATATTTCTTCACTTGCCTTAAGATTCGTAGATGCACACGGCTGGTCACTAGACAGATTTGCATCAAACTACCATGGTGTGAACTGAAGCTGACTTACCTATTTTGGTGCCAGTCTGTGTAAATGCCATTAGTTTAGAATAAAACCCATCAAAATGGTTTGACTTTAGCAAAGTCACTTGAGTCACATTTGGTCTGAAATATGCATCCCCGCACAGACTTGGCCAAGGCCTAACTGACTAGGGCAGGTCTGGGTGTAGCTCAGTCCTTCGGGCTTGATCCTGCAGGCACTTGCTTGGTCCCATTTGAAGGGAACGCTCCTGAGCGGAGTAAGCCTTACTTATCAGAGGAAGGCTGTGCAAAATCATTTGCCAACAATCCCAAAACTGGCTTCCTTCCATCCTAGCTTTCTGAATTGAGCAGAGCTGACTTTTCCTTGCCCGGTAGCCCAACTAGCCGGGCAGCAAGCTGCCTCTGCTCTCTCTGGCTAGAAGCAGGGCAACTGCAGCAGCCTGTTGGATACTTAGCCAAACCCATGCAGGCTTTCCTTGCACAATCCTCCTGAGACTTTGCACTCTGCTGCAATTCCCTCTCCCCTCCCCCCCCCTCAAAATCCTAACATTGAGGCAGAGTGAAGGCCCCCAGATCTGCTGGATCCCTAACCTAAAAGGAAAGGGTGGTGCACAAGTGGAGAGGGAACAATGTAAACTGCCCCCCATAAACAATGCTCTCGTCATTCAGTACAGTCCAACCTGAATCCTGGCTCATCTGTTAGTTAAATCTTGACTCCCAGCACAAGAATTAGGGGACCTGCTGCCTACTTAGGAGCCTGCAGCATGGCAGAGCAGCATCACTTGAGCTCTGCTACCAGGCCTCAGGGCTCTGCATTGTTCGCTTTGAGAATGCGAGGGCATAGGGAGCCTGGCACTGAATACTAGCCCTGTCCCTTGGGAATGGAAGCCATGAAGCTCTTTGCTGGGTTGGGCACCCTATAGCCTAGGGGCGAGAGAAGCTCTCGTGGCTGTGCGGAGGGCTGGCTGCAAACCCTGCCTCTCCGATATTAGGCACTGGGGCATCGGCTAGTTGTGCTGTAACTGAAAAGGTCATTCTTCACTGCCTCCAGTTTTCCAGTGCAGCTGATCAGGGAAGAGGGCAAGCCAGGGCAACACCTCTCCTAACCAGTTCCTTTTAAAGACCCTGCTCAGCGTCACCACCTCCCAGGGTTGGGGATGTTTCCAGGCCCCTTCTGGCAGTTGAGCTTCATGCCAGGATCAGCAGTGACTGTGCAAATGAGTATCTTCCTCAGCAGGCTTTAACTGCTTCCCTGCTGGAGGCTGAGGGGCTGAAGCTGCCCAGGCTGCCTGAGCTGTGTTATCACGCTTCATTCAGCCCTGGGTGCTATTTGTACGCCTCATCCCACTCCCTGGGAGGTAAGGCAGTGCAATAAGACCCATGGTACATAGCCTGGGCCTCAGTTTCCCCCTAACTGACTGGCCCTAGATCACACTGGGACTAGATGGCTAAGCAGGGAATTGAATCCAGGTCTCTTGTTTTAGGCCAGCCCCTAACTACTGGACCATCCTCTCTCTCTTCCTCTGAGAACAGCCCTAGAGAAGGTTGCAGTAGGGCACAGCAGGCTCCTGAGGGGCATCACGACCCAAACACCTCTAAAGGCTGTGCCTTATCCCATGGGGTCCGGTGGTCTCGGTCTTTGGCAATCACTGGAAGCCCAGAGCATTGTGGGAGTGCTGCCAGGGTGCTTGCTACCCTTGAAATAGAAAGGCACGGTCCTCCTTCAATGCTTCCAATCTAGCAGCAGGCCCTACCTACCTCTGGATCTCCAATCTAGTCTGGTGCGCGCCGCATATTGTGGGCTGGCTCTGGCGAGGGGATCACCAAAGAGTTGGTGGCAAGGATGTGGTCTAAGGAGGGAGGGGAGGCTGTTTGGGATAGGAGAGGTATGTAACTAATCATATAACAGCTGAGAGTAGTGCCAGCCTGCACCGCCTACTGCAGCTTCTACTGAATCCACCTCTTCCTGCCCTCGGTGTTGTGTGCTACTTAACAGCGGGTACGTTCCACCCCAGAAGTAGCTGCCCTCTTAGTGATAGAAGAGGGAAGTTGAGTGCACTAGGTGAGAGGTGCTAGACGAGCCTGAGTCAGGAGTTGTTGTTGACGTCGGCTCAGAAGCAGGCAGCACGGTTATGTCTTGAGTGTCCAGTGCTCCTGTGAGGAGGTGAGGGAGGGAGAAGCTAGGGAGTGTTAACAGGGATGACTCAAAGCTTATGAACTCCAAGCAGTAGGAGGCTGGAGCCCCATCGGAGGAAGACCACAGCAGGCAAAGGCCAATGTGTGGGGAAGCTAGAGGTAATCCCAGAGCTCTGATGCCCAGCCTCCACTGGGAACCTCGCCAGCATTGCAACAGCTTGAATTGCACCTTCCTAGTTGCCTAAGTGAGCAACAAGGCTTCTGTCCTGGGAGAGTCTAGCCTCTTGCCTTCTGAGGTACCCAAAGAGCTGCCACCCCTCCACAGCCACTGTCCTAACCACAGTTGCTGCACCTTCCCATCCACTGTCTCCATGCACTGGTGGAACCTGCCCTGGCAAGGCAGGTAAGTGAATGCTGCCCCCTCCATTTTACAGATAGGAAAACTGAGGCACGATGTGACTTGCCTGAGGTCACACAGCGAGTGTGTCGGAGCTGCCACTAGAGGATGGGGCTCCCGCTTGCAGTACAGAGCTGCAGCCACTAGACCCTGCTCCCCATCTGATGCACCCACTACTAGCTCTGCTTTGCTTTATATCCAAAGGGTAAAAAGTCCAGGCCTCTGTGCTCCCCTTTGCTTTAAGGAGTGGAAGAAGCAGGTGTGACTTAGCCCCTTTCTTTACCCTGCACTTGCTGCCCTAGCATTCCTGGGCCCAGTGGGTGAGCAGTCAGCATGTCTCCAGTTATTAATACTGCACAATAAACCCAATAGCCCTCTAGGGCTTAGACGCAAAGACTGGACACAAACCTCTAATTAAACTGCAAATTGTCTAGCTCCACCCGCCCACCCGATGCTCCGTTCTCTCCAGGTGTGTGTGTGTGTGGGGGGGGGGGTTAGTCTCTGGATCTTTGTTGAAAGGGCGCTTGAGCGTTTTACAAAACGGGAAGGGGACGATGGGCAGGGGTGGGGCTGCCTCCCGCAGGGCCACACCCCGCAGTGGGGTTTATTCTCTCCTAGCTCCGAGATTTTAAGGCTCGCTAGGCTGGGACATGACATGCGTTGGGTTCCCAAGCGAAGCTGGTTTCACTCCCGGTTTGCTGGGAGCGCTGGAGGGTTCTCCTGGCTCTGGCGACGGGCCTGCTCCTGACTTCAGCGTGGTGCCCCTGTACCTGGAGCGCTCCCCGGACCTGCCCTGGGCAGCCCCGCGCCTTGGCTCGGGCTGGAGCTGGGCTGTGAACGCTCTGCCGGGCTGCCGTGTAATCGGGCTGCCCTGGGCCGAGCGGGTCATGAACAAGCTGGGCCGGGACTGGCAGTGACGGCCGCAGAGCGCACAGCGGAGGGGCTCTGCGGGGCTGGTGCGTGGCTCCCGCTGGGCTCCCCGGGCGTCTCGGAAGCACCTCGCCGGCCGTGGCAGGAGCAGTTCGAGTCCAGGCGTGGGATCGAAGCCCCCCTTCCTGCGTGTACCCGTAACACGCTCCGCAGGGCGCGGGGGGACTGCACTTTAGCTGTCCACGCCCCCCGACCCCTCTAGGGAAGGATCGTTTCCTGAGCGGCCGGTGGGTGGCAGAGGCAGGGGGCGGCTCTGGCATCTGTTCTCTGGGTGTTTGAAATCCCGTCTCCCCCAAGCCGGAGAGGCCGGGGGAAGAATGGAGTGTCCTTTGAACGCGCTCCAGCAGCGACAGGTGGCCTGAAAGGCGACGCGTAACGGTCTCCCCCTGGTGTAAAGGATACTTCTCTCCCCACACTAATCCGGCTCCGTCCCGCTGAGTATAGAAGGGGCCGGCTCCGTCCCAGCATTGGCATAGCTCGGATGCTGCTCTGACTGCCTGCTGCAACGGGGACCCAGGTAAGCGGGCCCTCCGCCCCCCAAGGGACACTGCGTTTGGGTAGCCCAGGTCCGGCTCAGCGGGGGCTAGGGGCTGTGCCCGCCGCTCTCCGCTCCTCTCTGGCTGGCCAGGGAGTTCGCCGTGGCAACCCAGTGCCCAGCCCCGGGGGGAAGGAAGGGCTGGCGGGCTGCAGCCGCTGCCCCGGGGCTCGCCCTGCTCTCTGTGCTAAGCAGCCCTGGCTCCCTGGCTGGCGTGCGGGACGTGCTCTCCCAGCCAGAGGCTCCGCTCCGCGGGTGTCTGGATTCCTGGCCCCGGGGCCAGGCACGGACAGTCCGCCGGGGGGGGGGGTGTCGCCGGGGGCGCCCCGGTGCGTTTGGCCGTTGACATTCCTGCCCCTCTCTCCAGGGCATGGCGGGGGGGTGCTAGGACTCGCGCTCCTGATGGCCGCAGCAGAAGGAAGCGCCGAGCACGTGCTGCGGAGCATGGAAGCAGGTAGCTGGCCCCGCGCGCTGGCCGGGGAGGGCGGCTGGTCCCCCCAGGACACCGGGCAACCCGAAGCCTACACCGCGGCGTTTCCTGGGCAGGGTGCTGCGGGGGTCTCGCTATGCTGCCAGGTGCGGCTCTGGCTGCTGCTTCCTCCACCCGGGGCTCAGTCCTGCGTGTGGCCCCTGCTAACACGGGAGCCTCGGCCACCAAAGGCGGCGCTGCGGGCTCCCCAGGGCGCACGGGAAACCGCCCCACCGGAGACCTCAGAGCAGCGGCTGCCCCGTACCGGGAGGTTGGATTCCCCTCTGCAGGGAGGGCGGCCATGCCCCGCGACTGGCCCTTGGGCTGTCCTGGCCCCGCCTGGTCTGCACGCTCCTGCTGGGACCCCCCCAGCCTCGCAATTGCCGAGTCCCCACCTGATGCCAGCGCGAGAGCGGCCAGGCTGCGGCGCTTGCGAGCAAAACCCCTGGGGAGCAGAGCGTGAGCCCCCCCCCGAGCCCCATGTGCGGGAGGGCTCAGCCCACCGGCCCAGCAGCCTAGGGCTTCGGGGGATCCCCACTCTGCAGGCAGCCGCCTGGAGACGCTCAGCTCCCTTCCTGCAGAGCTGCTTCCTCTTGTGCTGATCTGGCCAGGAGCCTGGGGGGAGCGGCTCTGGCCTTCAGCCTCTTGGGCTCTGTCTCCCAGTGAGCCCCAGGGGCCCCGCTCCGGGTGCGTGACGAGGGGCGCCCCCCTCGCCCCGCCAAGGTGCCATCGACCCCTTGTTGCAGGACAAAGGCAGCCCGGCGCAGGGGCAGCCCTGTGGGATGCCCTCTGGAGCCAGGGGGTCGGGAGCGAGAAGGGAGAGCAGGCCTGTCTGGCCGTCTAGCATGGGGTCTGAGCTGAGGGACCTGCCTGTGTAACGAAGGGTAGCTGAGACCAAGGATCTGGGTTTGTGGGTCTCTTCCCTGGGGGTGGATCAGCCCCCTCTGGGGAGCTATTGACTTTCTTCTCTTGTACAGAAGCCTCACTAAAGCCTGCAGAGATGCCCCAGGCTTTGGAGGGCCCCTCAGGGCAGCCAGCTGCTGCCACAGCTCCTTCGGAGGGGGCGCCCATGGGCCAGAACGCCAGGCCTTGCACCAGCGTGGGGGAGGGCATGGCCCCTGGAGGAGCAGAGAGCCACGCTGGCCAGTCGGCCCCAGCAACCTCGCAGCCAGTGGAGAGAGAAGGAGAAAAGGCAGAGCCTGGAGAGAAGAGCGTCCCCATGGCTGGGAAGGGGACGAAGGCCAGTGGGAAGAAAGCAGTGGCCAAGGAGGGGGCAGAAATCCAGAGCCAGCCTACGGCCTCCAAGCATGAGCCCCCAGCTCCCCAGCGGAGCCTGAGCTGCCCAGTCAGCAGCCAGAGGTAATATCTCACTTCTCTCTCTAGGAATCTGATCCCCCCAGGCAGCTTGGGAGGCTGGCCCTGCTGGTTTGGTGGAGTGGGGAGCCCCTAGCTTGTCTCCTAATGCCAGGGTCCCCTCCCTTCATCCTTCCTCCCTGCTCTGCACCCCAGTCCTCCACGTGTGCCTGGTTTGCAGCGTTCACACCAGGATGGGCTCCCTAGAGAACCACATGCCAAAGGGAAGTCACCTGGCGGGGCAGAGATTCCTCTCTGGGGAGGTGGAGCCTGTGCTCCCGCATTGGATGCTCTTCTGAGATCCCGGCCTCCCTGGGACTGTCTCCTCTTGGGCCCCACCCTGCAACTGGAGTCAGCCCGCTGCTGGGCGCAGAACATCCCTGACGGGACCCAGTCTCTGGGATCCCCTTCCGCTCACGTGCTCGACCTTCTGCAGGGCTTGCCTCGCCCCCCCGGCCCCCCGGGCATGGGACCTTTCTGGGACGGGGGTGTTTCCTTACACGCAATGAGGTGCAGACCAGGGCGAGCAGCTCGGCTCCCTCTTTGGAGACGTTAATGGTGGGTTGGATCAGGTGTGCCAGGCCCACACTGCTACGTCTCCCTTTCAGACCAGGGGAGGAGCCCCAGGCTGTGAAGATGGGAGCTGAAGGGAAGAGTCCGCAGGGTACAGCAACTCCTGCCAAAGGAGTCAGCGCTTTGCCAGCAGAACCCAGTCTAGCGGAGGTGCTTGGCCCTGCTTCGGATGCCCCCAGAGACCAGACTTGTCCAGAGAAACCCACCCCAAGTGAGGCGTCCAGCCCAGCTAGCAGCAGTGGGCACCTGACCCCTGCAGAGCCCCCCAGCTCGGTGGGGCTACCCCACCCGGCTTCAGACGAGACCCCTGCAGAGCCCCCCAGCTCGGTGGGGCTACCCCACCCGGCTTCAGACGAGACCCCTGCAGAGCCCCCCCAGCTCGGTGGGGCTACCCCACCCGGCTTCAGACGAGACCCCTGCAGAGCCCCCCAGCTCGGTGGGGCTACCCCACCCGGCTTCAGACGAGACCCCTGCAGAGCCCCCCAGCTCGGAGGGGCTACCCCACCCGGCTTCAGACGAGACCCCTGCAGAGCCCCCCAGCTCGGAGGGGCTACCCCACCCGGCTTCAGACGAGACCCCTGCAGAGCCCCCCAGCTCAGTGGAACAGCCTCCTCCAGCCTTGGACAGCGCCGGAAATTTGGGGAAAACAGGCCCTGTCGCTGGGGAACAGCCACCTTCACCAGAGGAGGAGGAAGTGGAGCCCCCGCCCAGCCCCTACCTAACGCCAGACTTCGGGAAAGAGGACCCTTTCCAGATACTGGGTAAGGCTGTGCTGTCTCTTAGGCATGTAGGGTGGACTCTGTCCAGCAGAACGGGGGTGCCGGTATCTCTGATTCACCGCCCACCAGTGGTGCTCCAGCTACGGGTTCGCTTCAAACAAAGCTGACCTGTCCCCGAGCCAGGATCCTGCTGCTGGGATGGGAAGCCTTGAGCCCGCTCTGCATCTGGCATGTTCTTGCAGCTCTCCTTTGACACATAGCGCGAGACCCAGAGAGAGCCTCTCCCTGTGATATCTAAGAGCAGGGCAGGAGTCCCAAGAGCTCCTGGGACGTGTCACTCAGATCTTTGCACCATCGGCATTGCCCGCCTAGGACAGCGTGTCCTGGAGCTGGGCAGATTGACAGTGCAGGCGGTGCAGGCGTGTTCAGAGGGAGGGCAGGCTGGGGCCTGAGCTGTGCACGGTGGGGAATGCAGGGTTGGACCATGGGGATCGGAAGGCCAGGAGCGAAGGGCTAGCTCTCCGGAACTGAAGTGTGGATGGCACAGCATGGCAATGCCCTGGGGCTGGGCAGTGGGCCCAGGATCAGCAGAGCAGGAGGGGCAGTGCAAGGTGGAAATGTGGGGTGTGGGAATGCAGACCGTGGCTTGAGGGGAGCTTGGCGGTCAGCGCGGAATCAGGGGTCTGTGACTGCAGATGGGGTTGTGAGGATCTTTCAGGGGCTGTTAAGGAGACCGGTGGGGTCCAAAGGGGTCTAACGGGGTTATGGAACGAAACTGGAGCTGCTGATGGGCTCGGTAACCTCATGATTTATTGTCAGGCTCCTGAGTGGTCTGCGGCACCCTTTGCTATTTATAAAGAGGGGGCCACATGCTGTGACTTAGCCGCGAAGGGACAGGAGTGGGAGGCTAGGAGGTGCTGGCTGCAGGCTGTACCAGGCTTTGCCACTAGGTGCCGGCATCGCCCCAGGCGTGGATGAAGCTCTGGTTCCACCAGCCAGGAGGGAGAGGGGGGCTGCTTCCTGAGGATCTCCCCAGCCCCATAGGCTCAGCTGAGAAAGATGGAAGCAGCTGGGTGGTCCCATGTATCTTGTCTCTGCAGACGATATTCCTCCGCCGCCCGCTCCCTTCGCCCATCGCATTGTCTCCCTGAAATCCGGCACCGTGAACAGCATGTTCAACATCAACACCAAGGAGATGCTGGGCGGGTAAGAGCCAGCTGCCCAGGGAGCTGCTGTGGGGCTGGGAGACTGGCCCGGGGTGCACAGCCGGGCCCCAGCTGTGTTTTCTGTTTTGTGGGAAACTCCGTGATTTTGAAAATTTTGTTCCATTTAGAAATAGGGAGGGGAAGCTCCCAACCGTCGACATTTCCTGCAAAATGAAGTTTCCCAAACTCTCCCTTGGACCCATTGAAATAGTTTGTTCTGATGTCATTTTTTGAACCTTAAAAAATGCTTGTAAAACAATGGGGTTGGTTTTTTTTCATTTCAAAAAGCCATTTAGAGACCAAATCAAACCGCTGTGCTCAGAAAACAGCGCTCTGGGACATTTAGATGCTTTCAAAATGTTTCCTTTGTCTTTTTTGAAAATAACCCAACTTTGTCCCCATTGCCGTGTCTTTCCAAACCTTCAGACCTTGCCTGGTGATTTCAGTGAAACTTTTCCACCAGCGCTGCTCCTGGTGGTGGCCCTGGCTTGCCACCACTCCCCCTCTCCCTCTCTGCCCACTTTGAGCCCACCCCCCGGGGAAGGTGACATGCACGTTACTCAGGGTGAAGGTCTGGGCCAAACACGAGGGTGATAAAGTCAGGGAAGCTCAGCAGCGAGAGCCAAGCATGTTATGTGTGTGGTCCCCCCGGGGGCCCGCTAGTGGTGCAGGAGAACCGGGTGGCACTACACCATTCGGCATGGGCTGGTGCAGTCACTCCCAGCCGGGCAGCATCTCTGCACCCTCCAGGCCTGGTCCCAGTGCAGAGATGATCCTGCCCTGTTCGGCAGCAGCATTGCTGGCTCCATTCAGGAGGGAGACTTGTGCTCAGGCTGCCGGGTAGCCCAGCTAGCAGAAGGTGCTGATGGGGCAGATGTTCTTCATTTGGTACTTGGCATCTCATAGGGACAAGGTGCCCCTCGCTTGGCAGACTGGAGAGACCAGGTGTTCAGCTGAAGTTTCGTCCCAGCTCAGTATAGTGGGTAACCCCTCTAGTGCCTGTCCAGGACCTTGTATGCCCCTTTCATCCCGACCACAGAGGGAGAACCAGAGGTCACCAAATAAATTAATAGGCACCAGGTTTAAAACAAATAAAAGGAAGTATGTCTTCACACAACACACCATCAACCTATGGAACTCCTTGCCAGAGGATATTGTGAAGGCCAAGACCATAACAGGGTTCAAAAAAGAACTAGATAAGTTCATGGAGGATAGGCCCATCAATGGGTATTAGCCAGGATGGACAGGGATGGTGTCCCTAGCCTCCGTTTGCCGGAAGCAGGGAATGAGCGACAGGGGATGAATCACCTGATGATTCCCTGTTCTGTTCATTCCCTCTGGGGCACCTGACACTGGCCTCCGTCGGAAGACGGGATACTGGGCTAGATGGACCTTTGGCCTGACTCAGTAGGGCCGTTCTTATGTGCCTATTAGCCCACTGTCTAGTGCCCTGCCCTGCCGTGTGGGAGAGCTGGACTGGATCTGTAGAGTCCTGCCCGGTGTTAGCAAGGGCTGGGCATGCCGTGGAGTCCTCCTCCCTGGAACGGAAGTGCTGCTTCTTGGTCATCAGTGCCCTCTTGGAGGAAGGAAATCCATGGAACAGCTCTGAGGGGAGCCTTGCCCCGGGCTTCTGGGGCTAAAACCAAGCTTTTCAGCTTAGGAATGCACCTTCTCCAGGCTTGGAAACCCCAAGAATCCAGTGACCCCCCTGGGACTGAGCTTTAGTTCATGTGACTGGTCAGTTACCCTGAGAACTGGTAACTCATCCCCCTGCCCACTCCTTTCTATGGGGATGCCAGCAAATGGGCACTGTAACCACTTATGTCCCCGCTGAGTTTGGCCCCTTTGCAGCTAGCCTCTGAGCTTGCCCTCTTGCCAGATCATGCCCTTGGGTGGGGGGGATTGCAGCCTCTACTGTCTGCTTTTCTTTGCCCTAGGGGGAAGTTTGGTGAAGTTCGCACATGCACCGAGAGAGGGACGGGGCTCAAACTCGCGGCCAAAATCATTAGGAAACAGGGCTCGAAGGACAAGGTGTGTCCTGAGTGTTCTCCTGAGTCTGCCTGTGCATGTGTCTCTGTGTGGCTGTCTGTGTAGCCATGCATTAGCCCGGACAGAGACAAGTGTCCATCTGTGCACCTGGGGCTGAGTCACTGGGTGTGTACGTCCGTCAGTCTGTTAGCATGTGACGGGGTGCGCCTGCGGCTGTGTGTGTTGGCCAACCACCGGAGGGCAGTGCCACCTGGCCTGTGCTTGAGCCGGTCGCTTGGCGTGTTGACGCTGCGGGCGGTGGCTGCCGTCTCCCCTGGCCCTGCCTGCGCTCCGTGCGTTGATCCAGTGCGTGTCCCACAGGAGATGGCCTTGGTTGAAATCGAGGTGATGAACCAACTGAACCACAGGAACCTGATCCAGCTCTACGACGCCTTCGAGACACCCCGGGAAATCGTCCTCTTCATGGAGTTGTGAGTAGCACCCATTGGCGTGGCCGGTGCGGGGCTGCGGCTGGCCGGCCTCCTGGGCGGCTTGACACAGGAGCTTCCGGACGGTGCCGCGCTTGTTCGCCGAGGGTGGGGAACCTCCTTCCTCCTGGGCAGACTTGCTCAGCTGCCGTCACCTGGTGTGAGTCACAGTGCAGTGACAGGTTCCAGCAAGGGCTCCTGCATCCCCTGTGCTCTGGCTAGGAGATTCGCTGCCCAGGTAGTGCTCATCTCTGCTTGCATCCCAGTTCCTGGTACCCCGCCTGGAAGAAATAATCTGTAGCCCATACCCCTGAAATCAAGGCAATCTCGCTAACCCCCTCAGTTGCTCTGCCGGGATCTTGGCTAGCATAGTCTCTCCACTAACCTGTCTAGAACCAGGATGGGGAGCCGACTGTTCCCTGTCTGGGGTCTCCCTGCAGAATTCCCCTTCTCTCGCCCACCTGTACCCAGAACGAGTGGCCTCCTGAGCTACCCAGTTCCTCTGCCATGCAACCTTGGCCAGGGGTCTCCTCAGTAACCCACCCTCTGCCCCCATGCTTCAGGAGAGGGGAACCCTCTGTAACCAGCACCCCGCTCTGCCTGTGCCCAGGCCAGGGGGAGATCCTAGAGTTGCGTAGGGGAGCGTTCCTATGCAGGACAGAGCGGCTCGGCTGTAACTTGCCCGGGCCGCGGTGGCTAGGGTCTGCTTGGCGCAGTCCGGTGACGCTGTGGCTGGTCTGTGTGCAGCGTGGAGGGCGGGGAGCTCTTTGAGCGCATCATCGACGAGGATTACCACCTGACAGAAGTGGACTGCATGGTGTTCGTGAGGCAGATCTGCGACGGGATCACCTTCATGCATCAGATGCACGTCCTGCACTTGGACCTCAAGGTACCGCGAGCGGAGGGAGAGAGGGGGTACAGCAAGACTGCAGCTCCTGGGCTGGGGGGCTAGAGGGGAAACCTTCACAGGGTTCTGAAGCTGGGCTGAAGGGCTGCTCTCGGTGAGAAGAGAGCCCCTGGCTGTGGGGCCTGGGTGCGAGGAGGGCACATGCTGCCTGGGGGGAACTCGGTACGTGAGAGCGTGACAAGCCCGGCCTGGATCATCTCTGGGGAGAGGACGAAGCCTCCAGAAGCAGAAACTTCCAACTCCTGAGCATCAGGAGTCCCGCTGTTAAGTGGCGGGGGCAACACTGGGCCTCCGAGGGAGATTCCTTCGCTTGCCCACGATACCGTCACCCTGGGCTCAGGCCCGCGGGCTGGTGAGGCTGGAGTCTTGGCTTTGCAGACCAGCCTGGGCCAGGTCATTGTGGGTTGTATGCAGGTAGAGCCTTGGGCTCCGTTCAGATCCGGGGTCTGTTCCAGGTTCCAAGCTATTCAAAGGGCAGATCTCAGCGTGGCTCTAGGGGGCCTGGGGGATCTGTGTGCACGTCGCTGCGGCTGATCTGGGTGGGTCTAGGAGCCGGGTTAGCAAGGGTGACCGTGCAGCGTCTGTCTCTCGTTCAGTGCCTACAAACCGCAATCTGTGCGTCCGCCGACGTACTCTGATGTCAGGGGACTGGCAGGGGCTGCCCAAGGAACAGGCTGGGAGAGGAGATTCTCTCTGACTTGCTCCCGCACAGCATGGCCCGGGAGACACTGGCAGTCAGAACTAGTGATGCGATGGCCTTGGTGGGACTCAGTGCTTGGGAAGGGCGGGGATTTTAACTCCTCTGGGGCTCTAAGCCACTCCAGTGCCTAGTAGGAGCTTGGGGCAAGGATGTTAAAGGTGCAATGGCCTCCACTGAGATGCAAGGACTGGCGCTGTACATGGTCTGGGAACCCAGCAGACTACATCCCTGATGCTTCTAAGGGACAGAGGGAGAAAACTCTCCTAGCCTCCAGCCGGCCTTTCTCCGTCAAGTGTCTCAAACTCCTCTGCGAGTGGCCCGTAACCGTACCCTGGGCTGGGGTAGGCAGGCGCGTAGCCACGAGCTGGGTTCTAACCTCAGGAACTTCATCCCTGCAGCCTGAGAACATCCTGTGTGTCACCTCCACGGGGCACATGGTGAAGATCATCGACTTTGGGCTGGCACGAAGGTAACTCCCCTCCCTCCGGGACTGGGCTCGCTCCTTCGCTCCTGCTTTTCTCCCTGCCTGACATCCTCTGTTCTCCCTTCCCATGTCCCCTGGAGCTGGGCAAAGGCCACGCTCAGGGACCAGCTGCACTGGCCTTACGCCTGACCCTGCTGCGGGCCTTAGGGAAGGTCAGGAAGGAATCCCAGCGGGGTGGGGTGGAATCTGCAGTCTGGGCTTGGCAGCAGCTCTGCCGAGTCAGCCATGCCCCGCAGGGGATAGCGGTTTGGGGCCGTTATAATAACCGGCTTGGTTCTGCCTCAGGCTGGGGCCAGGCCAGGATGTTTCTTCCCTGGGCTGGAGCAGCATAGAGCCAGGGTGACGTGTGGGCGGAGGTGGTGAATGTGAACGGGCGGGGGTGCTGGCACCGGGACCAGTGCCAGGAGCTCTCACTGACCTGGCTCTTCCTGACCATAGATACAACCCCCGGGAGAAGCTGAAAGTGAACTTTGGGACCCCCGAGTTCCTGTCCCCGGAGGTGGTGAACTACGACCAAGTCTCCTATTCGACAGACATGTGGAGTCTGGGTGTGATCACCTACATGTTGTACGTGTGGTGGGCACAGGTTGGGTGGCACTAGGGCTGGGGTAGGGTGAGAACCATTCTGGGCTTTAACTGTAGACGTGGACCAGGCTGGCGGCAGAGCTGTGTGGGAGAGGAGTACAAGGCAGTTGTCGAGCCAAGGGCTGGCAAGAGAACTCCTGGGTTCCATTCCCAGCTCTGCCACTGAGTCGGTAGGTGACCTCGGGCCAGTCTCTGAACCTCTGCGCCTCAGTTTCCCCATCTGTAAAATAAGGCAGGCCCTACCTCCTCGAGTGCCTGAGGCATTGTGTATAGAGGGCACCAGCTTTCAGGGCTGACCGTGCCCTTTGGCACCTCTCCCCAGCATTGACTGCCCTTTCTCAAAGGGAGTGGAAAGCCGTCCAGCGGCTGCTCGGAGCTGGGTGGCTGGAACATCTGGGAGGGGCGGGCTGTGCGCGTGGACAGGAAATGGCTCACCTCTCCCAGCTGAGACAGGATGGGAACGCAGCAAGATGCCAGCTGGGAACACACTGGTTCCTTTCTAAGAGCGCTGACCGCTGGCTTCCCTGCCTCTCTCCTCATGATCCCAGGCAGAGGGAGGGAGCGAGCGAGTGGTTTTGTGCAGAAGGAATTGGGAACCCGCTGAGGAAACAGGGCCTGTGTCTTGTCCCTTCCTGAGGCGCTCCGAGCACAGCTTGTGATGGCTCCCTCCCTCCTCTCTTCCCAGGCTAAGTGGCCTCTCCCCTTTCCTGGGAGACGACGACGCGGAAACCCTGAACAATGTCCTGGCAGCCACGTGGTACTTTGACGAGGAAGCCTTTGAGGGCATCTCAGACGAAGCCAAGGACTTTGTCTCGAATCTGATTATCAAGCAGAAGAGGTTTGAGTCGAGTCGAGGGCAGCCCAGAGCTATTGGGTCCGGCCAGCTCAGCTGGCATCAGGCGCACAGGCCTGGCAGTCCATCACCTCCCACCTGGGGGCAAGCGCCCCCACTCCTTGCCAGTGGGAGCACTCCCGGGGCCTGGCCTGGGGCAATGGCTGGATGCTGCTGTCTGAGCCTTGCCAAGCTCGCTGTGGGTGCAGAGACAGGCAGCCCCAAGAGGACGACATGGATCCCTGCCCCCATGTTGATTGACGACCTGGCCAGCCTCCTCTTGCCCGTTCCCCTGGCTGCACCCCGTGGTCACAGCAGGGGCCATGCAGCATTGACTGCTCAGCCGGATCCTGGCCCTGGGGAAGGCTTCTCATAAGCAGGGCTCTTGGAAAGAGGGAGGGGACTGGAGGCCTTTCCAAGCAGGGAAGGGAGGAGAGACCAGGCTCTGGTGCCTGGTCCTTGCCTCCACGGGGGATCTCTGGGTCAGAGGAGACTGACCCTGCCCCGAGGAGGCAGCCAAGGGTGCTAGGCTCACGTGGCCAGCAGCAGCCTCAGGGCCTGTGCAGGAATGTGACTGCACCCTCGTTCCCCCCAGTGTGTTCTTGGGGTTAATTAACACAGGCCCGGGCCCAGCTACAAAGGGCAGCTGGCAGCACCCATGGGTCTCGGGTGGGGGGTGGAAAGCAGGAGCAATGCGGGGCTCCTTGGGGCGATTGAACCCCACTAGGAGCCAGGCGTCACCTGCATTCCTCTCCCCCGCAGCGGCCGGATGAGTGCGGCCAGGTGCCTCCAGCACCCCTGGCTGAACGACCTGGCTGAGAAGGCCAAGCGCTGCAACCGGCGCCTGAAATCCCAGGTCCTGCTCCGGAAGTATGTCATGCGGCGGCGCTGGAAGGTATGAAGGAGGCTCCCCCTTGATCGCTGTGTGCAGTGGGGACAGTCCGTGCTGGGGGTGAGCTCCCTATGCTGGGAGCAGGGGGTCGCCGAGCAGGGCCAGCCCATGGGGCGGGCTGGGGCGCTGGCTCCCTGAAGGGAATGGGGGACAGGAGCACCCAGAGAGAGCACTCTGCCCCCACTTGAGTGCACAGAAGAGGAAGCAGAAAGCCATGGGGGAGAGGAGGATGGGGCAGGGTGGTTTCTCTGTGCCCTACCTCTGTCAACAGTATGGGGCAGCGAGGAGGGAGAGCTTGAGGGCGTCTGTGTGCCCTACAGCCTGGGGGAGCCACTGCCCCGACTCTCACTGCCCCCGATCCCTGATTTCATGGATTTGTCCCTCAGGGTGACCCCCCCCCCGTCCCTGACGTTAAAGGGATGCTGGGGACCATTTTAAACATGACATTGACGTGTGTGGTAATTGTGTGGTGTACTCGAAATGGTCTCTGCAGCGAGGAATCATGCTGTGCTAGGGGATGTGGAGTTTTTCTGAAATGTCTCTTATTCCTCATGTGGTTCTTCCCTTACTTCCGTCCCCCAGGCCCTGTGTAAGGGGCACCCTGTGCGTGCACCCCACATCAGGGACTGCTCCTTACGTACGGGTTCCTCTAGGATCTCTGTCCCTGATTCCTTGCCTGCCCCAGGGCTTGGCCACAGGAGGAATCGATGTCAGGATAGAGCAACTGCAATGGGGGGAGCCACTCCCTTTGCCTGCAGCCTCACCCCTAGCCTGGATCTGTGCTGTTGGTTCCCTCTCGGTGGGGGCTGGGCTTCGCTGCCAGCAGCCCCCACCAGTCTCCTCTCTCCAGGGTGCTCTGCACTTTGCTTCTGTCTCTGATTCAATCCTGGCTGAGCGGGTGCCGGGAAGCCATGCAGAGGCACAGGGATGTCTGTGGGTGTCCAGCTTATTTGGGCTAAGAAATTTCTGAAAACCTTCCAGGCTTCTGAGCATGGGTGGCAGGCAGCTGGAAGAGTCACTGCTCAAAGACTGGCAGATGGTCAAGAGAAGCATCTCTGTGGCCTGGTGGAAAGAGATCAATGGATCCCCAGTGGCTCATAAAGGGATCCCCAGTGATCCTCTGGCTTTGAGACCCATTGCCGTCTACCACTTCCTAGCACGCCTGCGGTGTCCTGTGCTGGGAGAGTTAGGGACTGGAGTATCTGAAGTCCCCACCGCCAGGGGTCCTACACCATCCCCAAAAGAGGTCTCTTTAACGAGCGCTGTCCAGCCTCCAAATGGGGAATAACTTCTTTCTTGTTTCCCTAACAGAAAAACTTCATTGGTGTGTGTGCTGCCAACCGATTCAAGAAGATCAGCAGCTCGGGATCCCTGACGGCGTTGGGTGTCTGAGTGTGGGGCTGAGCTGGGTGGGATTTGAGCAACGCGTGAGTCAAGGCCAAAGGGCAATCCCCTGAAACCTGAGCTGTGCTCTGAAGGCCTACTCCCCGGGGCTTGCACAGGAAAGTGGCATGTAGTCCCTGCTTCTGGAGGCAGGAGGATCTCCACTTGGGTTCAGAATCAATCCGCTTCCCAAACACAAGGAGTTCACTGCTGGGGCAATGAATTGAGAGATCCCAGTCCTGTACAGATGTGTAATTCCTGCTCCCACTGCAGTGAGATTACTGCTGGATCCCATCCTGCTGAGAGTCCTGCTCTAGATTCTGTCCCTGCCATGAGATTCCTTCTCTAGATTCTATCCCGCACTGTCACTGCTCCAGGGTCCAGACCACTGGGATAATGCTGCTCTGGATCCTGAACTGCTGTGAGCTGACTCCTCTCGGTCCTGTGCCCGGTGTGAGGCTCCTGCCCTGGATCCCATGCTGCTGCAAAGCTGCCTTTGTGGATCTCCTTCTGGTTCAATATCACAACCCTGGAATTCTCATTCTCTGTGACGAGGTGCCTGGATCCTGTACCACTAGGACATGCTACACCTTTGATCCCCTTTGAGATTACTGGTCTGGAGCTCACACAAGCGTGGTGTTGCCATCTTAGCACCCTGTATCCCTGCTACAGATTCTGTACAGCTGTGACACCTACCACTCTGCATCCCATAGGCTCCTGCTCCTAACCAACTGTGCAGTTACCAGCCCAGGTCTCTTCTGTATCCCCTAGTGCGCCTGGATTGTTACTCTGAGTCCCATCCTCCCTGTGCTGCTATCGGCCTGGATCCTTTGCTGTCGTGAGACGACTGCGCTGAACTCGCCGAGCTGTGGAATTGCCAGCTGGACTCCCAGTGCACGGTGCGACCAGAGGTGCAGAGAGCACCTTGCAAACCCTAGACTGCAGCATCCTTAGACTCCACATTGCAATTCCCTGCGTTCTGCTATTTGTGTTCAACTTCCGTTCTGCGACTTGCAATGGGACACGCAGACCAGCCTAATGAGTGGGGCAGGGTCCGTGCACCACACACCAGTCTCTACCCGAGAACCAAGATTCCTGCTCTCTGCCTCTGAGTGCAATAGGAGATCCACCATGGCTATGTCACAGGACTGCTGGTCACAGCCTCTGTGCACTGCTGTCTGGATCTGTGCTCCCAGCTCCTGAGTGCAGGAGGAGTAACGTAACTGCGTGCTACTGTCGGGATTTGCACTCAAGCCCTCGGAGTGCAGCATGTACTCCCCGGCCTGCAGGTAGGATGCCTACTGCCAGCCTCTGGATCTGCTCACCGCTGGACTAGCATGCGAGGCTGCTGCTTGAGCAGAAACCCTCCTCTGCCCATGATCAGGGTCCTAGAAGCCGGCGTGCAGGGCTGAGTTCCTGTCAGTGCCGGGAGGCTCCACGCACAGGAAAGGAGGAAGTGCAGAGCACAGATTTCAGGCGCGTTCCCCAGATGGAGGCCAGGGAAGAAAGAAGGCGGCTTTGTGCTAGTTCCTAACCTCCCTGCCCTTCTGCGCTGCTAGCGGGGGGGAGAACACAACCTTCCCTTCACACGTCCCCCAGAAGATAAAGGCAAGAGAGCATCCTAATGCAGACCAGCTGGGCTCGCCGCTCCCCCTCGCACATATGAAAGGACTGCTTCAGCACTGACCACCAACACACAGGAACTACCCTTTGCTCGCTGGGCCCAGGGACCCCCCGATGGGAGGAGAGTGTGGGAGCTCCCTCAGGTTCTGGACTTTCCTTCCTGTTCCATCCTGAGCCTGAACCATTGTGCTCCACAGCTGGCAGGGCTTGGTCCGAGGGAAACCCCCTGCAGACCCGCCATCAATGTCTGAGCTGCCCGGGGGATCTAGGCCCCTCTAGGGTGGGGTGTAATGATGGGAGTTGCCTCCCCTGGTGATGCGGGAGCTCCTGTGTGGCTCAGTGTACTGACGTAGTAGCTAGGGGTAGGGATGGGAGGATCCTCCATGGAGTCTGTGCCTCTCTTGGGAGGGGGTTTGCAGAACGAGTCTGAGGCCACGCCCCTTTCTGTCCAGGTGAACCCCGGGCTTGGTGTCGTCCACGGGCGATTCATTATGAAAAAGCAGGGTGCTAGCTAACGGGCAGCCTGTATCTGTTAGGCACAGAAATAGCCAGACAGCACTTGACCTAGCCCAAAAGTGCCTCACACAGAACATGGGCACTGAGCCACACCCTCAGCTGGGGTACGCTGGTGGGACTCCATTGACCTCAGAGGATCTGCACCAGTTTACCCCAGCTGAGGTCTATCTCTCTTCGCTAAAACCCTTCTCCCTCTGCCCCATTTTCACCCTGGGTCCACTGGATTTCCTCTGCCCAGCAGAGCATAAACCCAGATGTTGGACTCCAGCCCCTGTGTGTGTACCCTCCCTAGCAGCAGCCCCCCAGTAGTGCAGAAAGATGTACGTTCTCTTGAGAGACGCCGGAGCTCTCAGCTTAATGTAAATAAATGTACAGGCCCGATGCCAAGCGCTTGTAGTGGATTGTGTTGTACGAGGTGGGAGGGGCTGGCTCTGAGCCCCAGGCTGCCTCATGCTAAGGTCTTCATGTCCCCGTCAGGAGCAGGCCCTGAGATCAGCGAGTGGGTTAAATCTTCTCACCTCCCTCAGCATTTCCTCCCTTCCCATGTGAAACAAGCAAATGATGCTGGGCCTTTACGGAGCCCTTCTGCATTAGCTGTGCCTCCCCCAACTTCTCTGGGGTGACCTGACCTATCTCCCCCGCTTTCCACTCACTGCCTTAGACTGAACCCGGCTTCCTGGCTACCAGCCAGCTGCGGTACCAGCCTGGGGCCTGGACCTTTGGGTTTCCCTTCCCTGCAGATGCTAGGAGAGCTGAGAATTGAACCCCGGCTCTCTGTAGATGCTCAGGATTCAGTGTCTCAGGTCCCTGGCTCCTGTCCACAGTGTGCCCTGGGCCTTTGTGCTGGGTGGGCGAGAAGCTAGGTGTTGAAGTGACTCTTGCATTTATTCTTAGGCCCTAGCCCTTAGAGCAGGATCTTCCTTCCACTGCAGCTTTGTGTCCCCCTTCTCAGGGCCCCAGCTCCCCCCCATCATTCCCTGCCCTGCTCCCTCAGGCTTCTGGCTGTCATCTCCCCTCTCCAGACACTCAGGGCACGAGGGGCCAGCGCTCAACCTCTCCGGTGCTGAGTGCGGGATAAGAATTTATATCCAATAGAACTGGGTCCCCAAGCTGCTAGGAGTGGGGTGGGGTACTCTGTATGCTGGGATGGGGGACTACGCGGGCACTGAATCTGCTCTCTGCTTAGCTGGAGAGTGGGGGCTTGGGGGAAACAGCAAGGGCCAGGCTCGTTACCATCTGCCCATAGGGGGCCTGCGTCAAATGAGCTTGGGTCCAATTCCAGCTACCCGTGGGGTGGTGTCCACAGCCCAAACCCCACCACCTCCCCGGCATCCCCAGCTGCGAGGACAGGGCTCCCTGCAGGTTGGAGCAGAGGCTAGAGGCAGGGCAAGGTGGGGATGTTCCAGCACCACTGTCCGTGCTGTAGCTATTCTGTGGTGGAGCAGAGGGCTGAGGGTCCAGGCCTGCCACCCTCACCTATGCTTGCGGCCGTTATATTTACACACCAATAACCTAGCTGCCCATGGGGCTTCCTCCCCGAGCGTCCCTTGTCCCCATATGCCACGGTGAGGCTGTGAAGGGCAGGGAGCCCGCCAGGGGCTGAGTAGTGGGCTGTCCCTTTCCAGCCAGGGGCGGAGCCGGTAACGTGCCAAGGCCGGCTGGCCAGGACTGGGGCTGCAGGCTGGCCTCACGGTTGGGTGGAATATGCCCCCTGAGGCGCTGTCTGACGGGGATGTTGGATGCTGCAGTTTGAACGGGGCTGAGACAAAAGGGGATGGTGCAGTTGGGGGCTGGGGCTCAGGGGTGGTGGTGGGGGGTGTTACAGTGCTGGGAGGGGAGGGGGCTGGGCCGCTGAGCCTCCGTTACAGTACTCTGCTGAAAGCTGCCCGGGATGAGGTGTTTCCCTTGAACATGGCGGTTGGGTCAGGGGCCCCTGCCTGCCCTGGCCTCTGCCCCCACCCCGGCTGGCTCTTTGCTCTCTGATCTCGCCCGCTTCCCCCGCTCGCTGGCAGTCTCTCTTTCTCAGAGATGGGAGCAAGGCCCCTCTCTGTGAGAGACGAAAATGCGCCTCTCCCCTTGCCACCACGGCACCGGAAGCTGGCCGCTCGGGGCTTGGCAGCGCCACGTTCCCTGTCACTTTCACCACATCTCTCCCTCTGGCTAATGGAGCGGGAAAGGGGGAGAGGCTGTTTCCCACAGCTGGAATCAGACCGAGGAAGGAGAGTGAGTCAGGCAGGAGGCTTGGCCTTTCCAAGCATCACCTCCCTGGCAGCGCTCCCCTGCGAGACCAGATGCGGGTCTCCCTCCCTTTCCCCCTCATGCTCCGCACTGCCCTGCTGCGCGAGAGGTGCCTGGGTTGTAGGCGGAGACGAGGGGCCGTGCGGCACTGGGTCAGGCACTGCTGCCCTTTTAGCCAGTATGGACTGGGCTCCAGCCTCCACCGCTGGGAGCTTCCCTGCAGCAGTGCCCAGCTGTGCCTCCAACATGAGCTTTTCCCTGTGGGGGGGCTGGGTCCAGTTCTTCTCTCTCTTTCTCGCAGGGGAGTCTCTGTGTTCTCTTTAGCCAGGATTTGTCTCAAACCTTCGCCCCGGCCCTGCTGGAGGGCTGGCTGCACCAGGTGGCCAAACCTCCGGCTGCCCTAACTCAGGGCGTGAGGCCAGTGCTGGCCAGGCAGCGTGGGTGGGCCAGAGCTCTGCCCCTTGTGGGGGCCCCAGCTGTATTTCCACACCCTTCTTCCCAGGCCCCGGGTGCCTGGTAAAAGGGAGGGCAGTGTTTGAGGCCCCTGCCTGGGCGGTTTGAACAGAGCTGGGGCGAGCAGTGGCGGTAAGTACCAGTGGCACTGAAGCGGTTAAAGCTGCCTGTGAACTAAATTCCATCTCCCCTCCGGCCTAGGGAGTTTCCTCCCAGACCATTTCCTGCTGACAGCCTTTGACCAGTTCCTGTTGTGACCACCCTGCGGTCCTGGCAAACTTAACGGCCCCATCTGCTTTGAGTTACACTCGGGGCTGGTGACGTCTCTTTCCTGTCTGGTCCCTGGCAGCTGAGCTCTGCTTGGGATTCTATCAGCCACCTTGGGGCCGGGCTGGAGGGACGGGGGGAGGGTGATAAAGCTCCTACCCTGGCAGACAGAGACCTGGACAGATGGACAAATAGACATTAAACACCAGAGGGCAGGGAACATGCAGACAGATGGCTGGATGGACAGACCAGCAGCCTGCCCTGTGTCCTTTGTCTTCCAGCATGGCATGGGGCTGCTTTCGTTAGCCTTTCCATCCTGAGCCTCCCCTGGGACCTTCCCAGCCCAGTAAGTGGCTTTGGGTTATTGATTCCCATCTCTCAGATGCGGAGTAACCCCAATTGCCAACCCTGCTCGGCTCCAGCCTAAAAATGGCCTGGCCCTGAGCCAGGGCCTGCCCAGGCAGAGAGGCAAAGCCACTGTCCCCCAAGAGCTGAGCCAGCGCGCTCCTTTGCAGTGACGCGGTCTCTGGGCCCAGAGAAGAGGGGAAGAGCGGGGAGCACGTACTGGAGGTGAGCCCCCGTGGTGCCTGGAACTGGGTGGTGGGGTGGGTGTCTGCTTCTCCCGTGTATAAAGCACATGTGCAGTGACATCTTGTTCCCGAAGCCATGGGGGGGGGGGGGGGGTTTTGAGGGGCTGCTGCTGTGCAGTGCAGTCCCCCCCACAGGGGCCAAAACATTACTGGCCTCTTAAGAAAGCAACCTGGACTCTGGCTTCTGAGCCGTCTGCTGGTAGTGTTCATCCTACTTGCCAGGAGCCCCTGGCCCTGGGACCATCCCAGCCCAAGGAGATGTGACAGCAGAGGGGGAATTTCATGCTGTCACCACTTTGGGCTCCTAGCTGAGCTCCCGCAGCCCCCCACCCTGACCAGCTCCTGAGGCTCGGCACGTCTGACTCCCCGTGACGGGCGCACCTGCAGCGTAGCCCAAGGGCTCGGATCACTGGGGTGCCGCCGTGGTTCCAGCACTCCCTATCTTCTGCCGGCCTGGGGCAGGGGTTGGTTTTCACGCAGCAAGCCCAAGGCTAGGCCAGAAAGGCCAAGAGATGGGGGTGGAGGGTCAGGTGACGCTCTGGGGAGCAGCTTGCTGCAGCAGCGTGGGCCTTGGCACTGAAGCAAGAGCCAGTGAGCAGGCTGCAAAATGAGCGTCTGCTCCCCCCAGCTGCAGCTGGCCCAGCGCGCTCCAAGGTACGTGGTTTCTTGGATGCTTCTCCCACCCCTGGGACAAGGTGGTGGCGGTGGCTGTTTGGACTTTGCCCCGCTGAAAGATGCCGGCAACTCAAGCCTTCTCTAGCCAGAGAACGGCCCCTGCCTGCATGGTGCCGGGGCAAGAAGGCACCGCTCCCACCTTGGAGACTCTCACCAGCCAATTTGTGGCAGATACAAGATTAACAGTCTCTTCTCTTTTCCCCCCGGACCCACAAAATCTACAGCTCACCAAAACTGTCAGCTGGGAAAGACGTTGAGCGATGGGGGCCTGACGCTGGATTTGACCCAGCAACCTTGGACGAAAGGTTCCCTAGCGCATCACCACTGCCCTGAGCCAACCTGGCCCTGCTCCTTCGATGTGGTTCCGCTTAATCGAACGCACTCTGAACAGCCTGAGGCATGAGCTGCAGAACTGGCTGTTGAGGGCCCCCTACGGTCTCACCGGGCGGCCAAATCTGCCCCGCCAGCAGCAGGGCCAAAAGAGCCAAGCAAATGTGCTGGCCCCTTCTCGCCAATCGGGGCTTGTCTGCATGGGCAGCTAGTGCGAGATAAGCTAGGGGGTGAACTTCAAGCACAAGGACCATTCTGCAAGAGCCCCACTCGGGCACTGAGGGCTTGTCTAAACTTGCAGCTGTTCCTGGTTATCTCCCCATGAGGACACACTTATTCCGGACCAAGAGAGCGTGATTCCTGATTAGCTGAACTCACTTTGGCCGTGTGTGGACACTCGGGAATAGTTATTGCACACTACATTCACACCCCACCTTAATCCACATTGGCTTGCAAGTGTAGACAAGGCTGAAGAGTGCCTTTGTGCAGTTTAGCTGAATCCAGCTGGGAAGTGGATTGAGCTAAAAGCCCCTCCTAGCTCCCCCACTGGGCATTCTTATTTTGCACTCTCTTTGCACTTCGGCTATTTCTCTGTGTAGCTGAGCCGGCTGCCTGCTCCCCACACTGAACCCATCACTACAGCTCCCAGCTGAAATTCAGTCCTGCCTCCCTACTTTGTTTCATGCTGTGGTACTTTCCAAACCCTTGAAGGAGGCCAGTCCATGCTCCCTGGAATCCAGCTACATCAGAGTCTAATTATCTTAAACTATCTTAGCTGGGGGAGGGCTGAAAACACCCCTATTCCTCACCTCTGCCCCACTGGCTTGCTTTCCC